CGACCGAACTTGCTGCGCAGTTCACGTGTTTATCAGCCTGTTGTTCTTGAAGTATAATATGAAATCTCTCTACTTGTGTTTCCTCAGGACATAGAAGACGGCTCGGTTAAAGGTAAAGAAAAAAGAAAAAACAAAAAAAGAAAAGAAAAAAAAAGAAAAAAAAAACAAGAACAAAAAAAAAAAAGAGAAAGAAAAAAAAAAAAAAAAAAAAAAAAGAGAAAGAAAAAAAAAAAAAAAAAAAAAAAAAAAAAAGCCGGAAAAGAAAAAAAAAAAAAAAAAAAAAAAACAACAAACAAGAAAAAAACAAAAAAAGAGAAAAAAAAATGTGGTTGGAAACCACCGAGGTTACGGTTAAACAAGTCTTCAGGTGTCTGGTCCAGCCAGGTGGCAGTATATCGCACCGTCGGGTGGGGGGCGGGGTACTGGGCGTCTCAAGCCAAGTCAAGCTGTTGCCCCAGTGGTGGTGACCCACAAACCTGTCACGCTGCGTGCACTCGAGAGCTGCCTGTAGGTGAGCCCTCGCCTTTGTCTTCGCCAAAGTCCGGGGGCAGACGGGTCGGCGCGCTTCCGACCAGAGGCCTGTCACCTAACCTGGGGCTGCCTCCGTGTGCAGACCGTATCGTGTCGAGAGGTCGATGCTTAATAAATTCTCCACCATCCAGTGTATTCGGGTGGGGGGGCCGGTCCCAGCTGATTCCACTGCTACTCCTCGACAGCGGATGCCGGACGGTTACGGGGGCATAGTAGCTGAGGTCTCTGGCTCTGGGTCAGCAGACAAGGGCAGGGGGAGTCCAGTTGACTGAGCTCTGGACTGGGCATTATAGGTCCCAGAGAGATTGTGATAAGTGAAAGCGAATACATGTGAACTGGTGATATCATCCGGTAGAAAGGAGCAATATCACAAGTATCTGCAGCCATGAGCCAGTTCCCCAGAGCCGAGAGTCCAGAAAGCCAAGAGCCCAGAGGCCAGGTCCAGCAGCCGAAGGTAACCAGGTCCGAGCCATTGGTCGTAGTAGCCCGATGGTCCAGAGCAGAGCCAGGCCATGAGGCAACATGGGGTCGGTCCAGAGCCAGGTCCAGGTCCAGGTCCAGAGCCAGGTCCAGGTATAAAACCGGTGTCACTTCCTCCCTGGTTGCATCAGAGCTGACAGGTTGCGTCAACTTTGAGCGTCATCGTAACCTTTAATGTAACAGCGGTATGTTAACGGGGATTAGCGGCGGGGTCGGCTTACACAGCGCCAACCTTGGCCAAATATGTCGGAGAGGAAACGGCCGGATGCCGCAGCGTGTGTGACAGGTGACATCCATCATCATCATCTTCCTCTCCTTTTAGGATTGATGTCAGTGTGTTGGAAGAGAGTGAGGAGAGTCTCCCAGTCAGAACCTGGAAAACTTCATTTTACTGTATCGCAGATTTAGAACCAAAGACCAACAGTTCCCACCATCAAGCACCTGGCGACAGCGGCAAGGAATCATTATTAAAGGTTAAAGGGAACTTGTTCCAGTGGGAATAAAATCCGGGACGTAACCGTAAACAAAAAGATCCACAATGCATCATCTGCGTCTTCACTGCTAGAAACTAATTTGGTGACGTACGACTCACGTTTTAACGTTTTAATGCAGGAAACTAAAATGATCGGTCATATCTGTGGAAAAGTTGTAGTCATTGAATAAAATTACGTCTCACAGATTTTACTGGGATTGTTTGAACCTGTTTGAGATTCAGTGAGTCAGAATGTGGATAACTTGTACTATTGGTTCAGTTAATGTGGGTGAATGTTTGAAATCCCTCCAGGATCTCAGCTTCTCTCAAACATTTGGATGCATTTTTTGCTGTTTTTTTTTGCACTGAGATTTGCAGGAGAAAGTGAAAATTGCAAAACAAATTAGTTTAATTCATTAAAAATATCAAAAGCAACTTGTTCCAGTGAGAAAATATCAGTTTGGATGTTCCAACTTCAAGCTGCTTCGGATGGAAGCTGATTTCCACCAATGTGACAAAAAGATTCTGTGAAGTTAAATTACTGAGAAACTTTCTTACAAAACATTTTATTTCTGTCACATTGGCACAAATGGGCTTCCATACTAATAGACATACCTTAGATCCTTTAAAGCGCTGAACTAGTGAACAGTCTCCTCTCAGTGTGTGTGCGTGTGTGTGTCCGTGTGTGTGTGTTGAACTTTGATTGGCTTCCAAACTAGTTGCGACGTCACAGACTCCAGCTCGTCCTGAAAGCTCGGAGGCAGCAGAACTTTAATAAATAAATTCTGTGGCTGAATGAAGAAATGTGAGCGAAGGCAGGGTTATAAAATTCTCAACTTTAATCAGTTCAAAAAGTTCACAACAAATGTAACACCTCGAGAAGGGAAATCTGCCATTAGAGATTGGGTACTTATTTGGATTTATACATTCTTTTCCTAATTAAACTCGCTGGCAATTCATTTGCTCTGTGGACAAAAAGCCTTTTGTTTATTTGGACACAACTCAAACAGGTACAAATGAAAAATGCAAAAATACAAAATTAAATGTAAACCCAGTTTTATTTTTCATTTTGCTCTAAAGGTAGTGTCTCTGACGCACTACTGCATGGTAAACAATCTAAATTAGTACAATTCAAAATCTTCAAAGCCTTCTGAGTTAAAGAGGAGTTGTTATAAAGATGCAACCAACTAAGAACCCATAAATACCTCCGCCACTTCCTTAAAACATCCCATAATGAAGGCTCACAAATGAGCAACAATCCTCTTAGAGGAAAACAAAACGCTGATGTCGACTAGGCGACAGCACACACGCGCACACACCCACAACAAAAAGAAACAATAGAATAAAAGGAAAAAAATGTTCCCATGGTATTAAAGATGCTATACAATTGGGATGATATGCACATATTCGGTTTTGCTTTCCCTAAAAAAACCAAAGAAACCTGCCGGCTGAAGCCGAACACGGTTTCTTTTTTCTTCCCCAGGTGAAGCACAAACTCGTGAGCAACAGATGCCGATAACGTGACGCAGCATCTCTCGACCTTCATTCATTATCCGTTAGATTCACATTCTCCCACAATGCCGCGGGGCACCTAACAAGCCTCTACGCCGACTTGACAGATATGCCTTTTTTTGTCTTTTTTCCCACAAAAGCCCTGCTCAGACTGAATATATATAATATATTTATATATAAA